AGGTTAGCAACAATTATTTTAAATTATCTTACTTTTTTTTGTATTTTTCATAGATGTGTTTTTTCTAAAAAATTTTCTTCGATTTTTTTTTAGTTTTTTTTGCCTTTAATTTCATTTTGTTCTACTTTTTTTTAATTTGTAGCTTAATATCTTTAATTTGTTTTATTTATTTTTTTTTTAATTTTTAGTTTTTTTATTTGTATTTTTTTAATAATTTTTTTATAATTATTTTTTATTTCATTGTAATTTTCTGCTATTGCGTTTTACTTTATACGATTTTATTAATTTCTTTTCCATTTTATTTTATCATTTCATGTTATTAATCTTGTTATTTCATTATATTACTTTTATTTCACTTTTCATTTCATTTTTATATAGTTTTATTACTTTATTCCGTTTTTCCTTTATTTTTACATTTTGTTTCATTTATTTTTCTTTTTTTTTTGGGAAATTTATTTTTTTTTATAAGTTATTTTTTCACTCTTTACAGTAAAAATATTTAATTAATAAAATCTACTTTTTTTAATTAAATTGAATTTCACTTTATTTTATTGTTTTATTTAATTTAATTTAATTAAACTATCACTTAATCTCATTTTATTTTATGGTAATGAATTATAAAAAAACACCAACATTTTTTTCACTATCCCAAAAAATTAACTTAAAATTATTTAGATTTCTTTTAATCTTATTTACTTTCATTTTTTATTTTATTTTGATTTTTACTGTTTTTAATTAAATATTTTAATTTAACTTAATTTATTTTTTTAATTAAATTTAGTTTTATTTTTTTCACATCTTGTTAAATTTTATAAATTTAATTTTTTTATATTACTATCTTATTTTATTTGTTTTTACTATTACAATATTTATATTTATTATTTTAAGGCTTGTAATAAAAATATTAAATTACTTTTCCATTTTATTTTTTTTTTTAATATTTCATTTCTTTAATTTTACTATTTTTATTAACTTAGTTTCATTAACTTTTTTATGTTTTTATATTTTATTTTAAATAATTTTATCACTTTAATTTATTATGCCACTTAATGTCATTTAATTTATTTTATTTTTACACATATTAATTTTGTTTTATTTTGTTTCATTTTTTGTTTAATTTTCTTTTATACAACTCTATGTTCTTTTATTGGATTTGACTATTTTTAATAAAAAGATATAATTTTATTTTTTATGTTATTTTACATTTATATATATTTCTTTTTAAATTTTTTCTATTTTTTATTTTACTGATTTTAATAAAAAATATTAAATTATTTTTCCATTTTTTTAATATTTCATTTCTTTTTATTTTTTTGTTGTATTTTGCACATTCTATTTTTTATATTTTTTTTTATTTTCGCTTATTATTTTAAATTATTTTATTTCACTGTATCTTATTGTTTTTACTGCTTTCAATAAAAAATATTTAATTTGAGTTTTCATACTATTTTAGCTAAATCTTTTTTATTTTAATTTATTTTTTCTCTACTTTACCTTATTTTTATTTTTATTTATATATTATTTTTTCATTACATTTTTTATATTCCTTTTATTTATTCTTTTATTAATTTATTAATTAATTAATTGTTTATTATTTATTTAATTATTTATTAATTTGTTTATTTATTTATTAACTTATTTATTAAATATTTATTTATTTTTTCTATTTATTTATATATTTATTTGTTTATTTATTCATTTATCTATTTTTTTATTTATTTATATTTATTAATTAATTTATTTATTTACTTATTTATTTAATTATTTATTTAGATATTTATTTATATATTTTTTTATTTATTTATTTATTTTTTATTTATTTATTTATTTATTTATTTATTTATTTATTGATTTATTTACTGATTTATTTATTTTTTTATTTATTTATTTATTTATCTATTTATATATTTATTTATTAATTTATTTATTTATTTATTTATTTATTTATTTATTTATTTATTTATTTATTTATTTATTTATTTATTTATTTATTTACTGATTTACTTATTTATTTATTTATTTATTTATTTATTTACATATTTATTTATTTACTTATTTACTGAGTTATTTATTTTTTTATTTATTGATTTATTTATTTATTTTTTGGTTTGTTTATTTATTTGTTTTTTATTTTTTTATATATTTATTTATTTATTTATTTGTTTAGTAATTTCTTTACTTATTTATGCAATTTTATTTTAATACAAATTTTTTGTATTTTTCTCTCTTTTTATTAGTACCAAAAGAAACTCTATTCAATAGCAACTTCCCCGGCTATACTAGAGTTTATAAATCCAGTCATTTATTCCCCAGGATATTGAATTTTAATAAAACAAATGTTGTTTTCTGAAATTTTTATTTTAAATATATGTATATATAAATGGTCTCAATTAATTTGTTGCCAATGTTGCCACTTTGCAGAATAAAAGAGAAGTGTATCTGCTTCTGTATCGAAAACCCCTTTCTTCAGGTGTTATTTTGTGGATGAAAATAATTTCGTTGAAAACAAGTTAGCGAGTTTTAATCAAAATTAATAATAATTTATATTATGTTGTATCACACAGAAGTACCTACATATACATACACACACACATATGTACATATGTAAAAACTGTTGCATGAATGATGGTGCAGAGAATTGAGGTCGAGTAAAAAATCTTAACCGTTAGCTAATTTCTAATAATGCACAATAACATTTTAAATGTCATTTAGTATAAAACTCAAAACACTAAATATAAAACAATAGCAATAGTTTATTTAAAAATATAAAATAATACAACAAAAACCAAAAAAACACAAAACAAACAAAAAAAACCAAAAAAAAAACACAAGCAACAACCAGAACTAGGAGTGGAAATTTAAATAAATAAATTAACTTCACAAGAGCAAATTAATACAACAACAACAAAAAATTAACTACTCGTAAATATGGATTTAGAATTAATATACACAATTAATGCTTCTTTTTGTTTTTGAGAGTTGCGTATTTACACTTCTACATACATACATATATAATTTATAAAAAAATAAAAAATAAAAAAACAAAACAAAACAAACAAAAAACACGAATAAAATGTAAAAAGGAAGTCAAAAGCAAACAAGTGAAAGTATAAATAAATAAGTTATGTAATGTAAAATATACATATAAATATATTAAAGCGAATTTTTTTCACACTTTAGCTTAATAAATTGTAAAAAGGAAGAACAAATAAAATTGATCATTCATTGAATTTGTTATGCAAATGAATTTAGAGGGTTTTTTCATTCATTTCAACAAAAGTACAGTAAGTAAAAAAGTACTTAGGCCATACATACATACATACATACATGCATTTTAGTTAATTACTTTTGCACTAAAAACCGAAATACTCGAATCCAATAGACACAGCCGTCTACGCGTGCAACTTGTGGCATAAAAATTTCCACCGGAAATCGGTAAGAGCGACAGAGCTCACTCATAGATTGCGACAACCCTCGCAGTTTCAGATCAGACAAACGGAAGTAAGTTCGAAGAAAGGAAAAATCACACCATGAAATGCATACACACACAGTATCCGGTATATGCTAAGAGCCGCAAGGACATGGCTTGTTGCATACTTGCAAGACCAACAGCCGAAACATTTGTTGCTCGAACTTTTTGGCGCCCGACTGAGAATATAACCACTCCGGCAGTATTTCTAATATGAAAAAAAAACACGAAAAGCTAGACAAGAGAATTGTTGCATTTGTATGAAACCATGAAGACGCACAACATAAATCGCAGGAGAAGTCTAGTCGGTCTCTTTTGCAATTATCAAACCATATTATAAAAATTATTCGTTGGATAACTCGTAAGAGGCTTCTCAACCAATGTCGTCTGCCATATTTCCGCACACAGAGGGTTGAACGCCTTGCAGAGTTTGGTCTTTTGTCGAAATATTCCATCTTCTCTTTGCTGGTGATGTCTTACACCATTCGGTTGTCCCTAACTGGATTGTTTTCTCAAGACAGTCTAGTCTACTTTCTCGATACACAGTCTTCTTGTCTAAAACCACACTTGGTGACAAACTGTTCGTGGTCATACCTCGCAATTCCGTCTCTGTTGGCAAAGAAAATTAAAGCCAAGGCATAGTGATGTAGGTACAGCTCTTTTTTGTACCGCTGAATGCGGCTTTTAAGCCACAGAAGGAATGATATGTGCTGATTCCCTTAAAGGATTAAGTTTCTGGATCCAATCAGTGCGCTGAGAAAGGCTCCTGGTGGAGAAAAGCGATATTGCGGGGACTTCTCCCTTGATAATCAACTTTCATTCCGTCATTTCACTACCGAAACTTCTAGTACGAACACAATTCGACCCATCTTCCTCAATCCGTACCCAAGTGCGTCTCCTTCGCACTTCTGTTGAGAGATTTGTGTGGATTTTCCCGATTCATCCTGTGTAAATTTTTTAAGGTAATAAATGATCGGTGACCCACAAAAGTGTAAAACAAGGTCGGCCGGCGCATCGATTCAAGCGATTATAGATGAATAGCTTGACGCATGTGAGAGTCGATTTCCACCAAGTGAGGCTACTTATCGATCCAGTGTTGGTCGTAAATATGTTAGGCGAACCCTAGATCACACCAGTATGGTGCCACCAAGTGATAGTTTCTGGAATACTCGTACCAAGTGTAGCTTTTCCCTCAGGGAAATAGTTTCATATCATCGGAGCCTTATGTGTGAGGCTCATCTTTATGTTGGCACACATTGATAAATGCGGTGGTAGATTCCCGCAATCTGGAACAGTGGAGGACACATTGCTCTCACGTGTCGTGCACAACTGAGAAAATAACTAAAAGTGGCAGCAGCCAGATGAAGGTTCGCAACAGTCGCCTATCACTTTGCAATATTTCCTTACCTTACACGTGGAATAGGCAGTGTGAACTCGCTCATCTCAGTTGTAGTCAAGAGCCACTACAAGATTTTATTAGTTCACATTTCGGTGTGTCGACTTGTATGGAAAAAAGAAATTTTACTGTGGATTGAAGTTTTATTATTTTCACTTTTATTTATGTAAAAAAATATTTTTGTAAGTTTTCATATTTTATTATTTTATTTATTCCAATTATAAGAAAGCTTCAGGCACTACAAAGCAGGAGTATGTACCAGGATTAGGGAGATGAGCCTTTTCCATCCACCGATCGCTTTCGTCATCATAAACATAAGAGCAATCTGTTCGTTGACCGCACCATCCGCCGATAGCCCATAATTGATTGTTTAAGGAAATACAAGCATGCTGCTGATTATTGGTAGGTAAAGAAGAGATCTGTGAATGATTTGGAATGAATATTAATGTGAAACTTGTGAAGAATTCCTAAAAATTAGTCAACTAACCATAGTCCACACATCTCTTTGTGGATCGTATCGCTCAGCCTCCTCCGCCCCTACAACATATATGAATCCTTTGTGCACGGCTGCCTGAAATGTAATCAAATACAAATACACAGTTATACACATATACATAAATACATATGTACATATAATGATGCAATGAATGCTCTTGAAGCGATTCTGGGTTCTATAAACTCAATGTCGTCGCTCAGTTCAAATTCAAGAAAATTCATTTGTATTTTGCATTAAATAACGGATATTCTTCTGTTTAAAATTTGGAAAAAGATCGTGTTTTCTGTATTTAAAATAAATATTTCATTTCGAAGTCGTTTGCCCAAACATCTTAGATAATTTTGTACGATTTGGCCTGAATTAGAGGTAAACCAAAATTTTAAATTTTAGTAGTTTATTTAACGGTGAAGAATTTTACAAGATTCTGNTATTTTGTATTAAATAACGGATATTCTTCTCTTTGAAATTTGGAAAAAGATCGTGTTTTCTGCATTTAAAATAAATATTTCATTTCGAAGTCGTTTGCCCAAACATCTTTGATAATTTTGTACGATTTGACCTGAATTAGAGGTAAACCAAAATTTTAAATTTTAGTAGTTTATTTAACGGTGTTAAATTTTACAAGGTTCTGCACACCGGAATACTCGTAGAGTCTTCACTCAGTCAACTGTTGACAGACCCATTCACCCTCTATCATCTGCGCAATGTAAGAGCTGCGACCTCGGTCAAGCCCACCGTGCACACATTCATAAATACAAAATTGATTTCAAAAAGGCGTAAATAGTTATTTTTATATGAATTTAGAATTCACTTACACCAGGAAATTCACACGAATAATTCATATTCGCACAATAAGTCCAGTTATCTGTGGTTGGATCGTAGCGTTCAACAGAATTTAAGACTTCAAAGTTATTGCGACCTCCCATAACGAAAATGTTGCCATTTAAGGTCACTGCAGCTGCGTACTCGTGTGGTGTATTTATGTTGCATACCTCCCGCCATCCACCCGTGGAGGAGAATCTAAAAGGAATGAAATAAAATAAAATTAAAGGACTGCATAACAACAACACACACACATAGCTTAAGCTTTGGAAAACGCTAATTATACATTCATACATATATACATTTAGTATAAAAAATACCGGTGCTTGAATTCAAACTATTTGGTAGGAATAACAGTGTGTTAATAGAGTGTGGAGTGTATTTCACACCGCCAGGTGGCGCATGAGTCCACTTGTCCGGAAAATCTTTTATCTGCATAATCTGTATAACGAGAACCACAACAAAAATTTGTATGTGATATTGAGCTCTGCGACGAAAATTTTCGAAAATAATTACTTTAAGTGCGATTTTGGGATTATATTTGAAGTTATTTTACTCTTAAAAATTATTACTGTTATTGTATTGGAATTAACCATAGCTGCATCGTAGCGACAAATTCCAACTTAACCAAAAAATTTCCATCGATTCGGTTGCAATATCGGCAAATGTTATCGTTAAAGCAGTTATCAGAAAAAATTTTGTCTCGTTTCGACCCGAAACGAAAAGCTATTAAATGTTAAAATTGGAGTGGTGTGCTGTTAGTATCATCGCGAGCAGCAATTTCAATTTCGAATTACCGTTAACGCTGAGTTTGTGCGGTAGTTGGGCATCTCTGGAATTAACCATGTTTTTGTGTAAATCCCAAAAATTTCATGAATTCAAATTACAAATACAAAAATAAATAGATTTTTAACTGTCACCCTCAAATAGGTATCTCAGGACTTTGAAAACTATATACCCACATAGAAAAAAGTAGCTGAGTTCGAATGGCACTTTTGTAAAGTTCAACAAATTAACTGAAAGTAAATTTTTTATTATTGAAAAGTGCTCAATCGTAGAAACTTTTTAGGCGTGCTTGTGGAGGCATCACAAATTTAGTCAATATTTATTGTTCGAAAGAACTTCCCGACTTTAGCTAGAATTGAACGCTTAGAATTAGGGATGCGTCATATCACGATTAACGGAACGACGTTGCTCGGTTGGTCTATTGGAAGAACACTTCTTTAATACGAGTGTGTATGTACAGCGTAATACTCCTTACTAACAAAGTGAAATATAGAAAGACATCGGTTATGGTTAATACATATATACACATATTCAACTTCCTTTACTGTGGAAATCTGCGATTTTTCATTTCTTTTATATGCAAATGATTTATTCTCATGATGACCAACAATGATATGTATGCATTTCGGGCATTTGTATACACATATCACATACATCTGCATTTACCTTCCATATACTATACGTAAACTTACACTTCTACCGACGCTAGAGAAGTCCTTCCATTAAATCCACCAATCGCGTACATTTTGCCATTTAAAAGTGCAGCACTGTGATAGCTCCGAGAGTGAGTCATGTTTGGCAGCTGTTTCCATGTTTTGGTACGCAAATTCCAGCTTCTAACTTCATTTCTTTGTCCTCCGGTGAAGATTAGATTGTCATCATTAAGAATAACACTGAACCTATAGACACCCTGTGTATCTAAATCTGCGTATTTTATCCATTTATCTTCAGTTTTATTGTATCGTAAGAGACAACTAGTGGCATTCTGTTTGAAGAAATTTGCAAATTAATATGAAAAATATGAGAGACATAAATTTTAACTCAGAACACACACATATACATATATGTATATACATATAATATATAATATAATCTATATCTTATATATAAAAACTTAATGTGTCATATTGTTTTATGGTTTCTGGGAAGATTTGAACGAAACAAATTTCGGAAATTGGCCCAAGAACTAAATTATTCGAGAAAATTTTATTTAAGGTTCGATTTACTTGAAATTCGGTACAAAGGTGACTTTTTGCGTAAAAAATTGTATTAATAGTTATTGTTGCTTGACATTCTTTTTACACTAAGTGGATTACGGACCAGAGATCTGGAATTATATTCGATTTGCCCGAAATAGAGATAATACCTTTTACATACGGGAAGGGGATAACCGACAGATTGACACAAATTCGTACGATCTGGATATAAGCATAGAATCGTGCCCATGAAGGTGCGCTTCGTTTTTTTTTGTTGTTGTTGTTGTAGCGGTTCGCTAACCCCGCTTAGGCACAGGTTTGATCAGTCTAAGTCGCCGAGGTCATCTAATGGTAGGTCCAGGAAACGAGCTGTTTCGACGGGGTTGGACCAGAGGGAGAGGGGGGGGTTAGATGCGTTGGTTTGAGATGGCATGTGAAGAGGTGGATAGTGTCGTGCGGAGACTCTCCAGATGCACGGCATACGTTGGGTATGCTGGGGTCTAGTCTGGATAAGTAGGAGTTTAACCTGCTACAATATCCAGATCTGAGTTGTGTCAAGGTCACGCGGGTCTCTCGAGGCAGCTCGAACTCGTTGGCTGCTATAGGTGGTGGTATTTCTCCGAGTACGCCATTCACTGGAAGGGAGTCCTTGAAGGTGTTGACTGACTCCTGGTGAATGGCGTTCAGTGCTTGTCGGTACTCCGTCCTGTCCAGCGGTTGTTGTACATGTTGCTGGATTGTGTCCTATAAGTCTACTACTCCCTGCGGTAGCATCCCAATAGGAACTGCTTGCACAGCAAAGCATTACGCTCCTTAACTCGTAACAAAGATTCTTCCCTGTGCAAGTGATGCCCCGGCGACATCAGGAGGTTTCCTGCAGCTCGTTCGTCCCCGCCGCCCAGATCGGTGCAGCATAGTTTACGATCGGCCGGCCAATTGCTTTATAAGTAGCAAGCAAAGTTTCTTTGTCTTTACCCCAGGTGCTGCCGGCTAGCGCTTTGAGTATTTTGTTGCGGCTCTGGAGTTTCGCGGCAATTGCGGTCGTATGCGGAGTGAAGGAGTGCAGGCTGTCTAGGGTAACTCCCAATATTTTTGGGTTATTTACCGTCGGAATTTTTGTGTCATCGAACTTCCCATCTAGTTCCAGCCTGTACTCCTTCGTCCAGCTGGTGAAGAGGGTAGCCGAGGATTTCGTCGGTTGAATTCGCAGCTGTCTTGCAGTGAAGAAGTGGGAGAGATCAGCGAGGTAGCCGTTCACTTTCGAGCAGATGTCTTCAATATCCTGGCCAGACGCCATTATCGTACAATCATCGGCATAAGAGGTTAGGGAAACTCCTTCTGGTGGTGGAGGGAGTTTCGATATGTAAAAATTAAACAGTAGCGGGGAGAGGACACCACCCTCCGGAACCCCCTGTTTAATTTTTCTGGGTTTAGATGTTTTACCTCGGAATATTACCGATGATTGTCGACCACTCAGGTAGCCCATGACCCACCTCTGCAACCCCGGCGGTAATAAGGATTCCTCAATGTCCGTTAGTAGCACTGAGTAATTGACTGTGTCAAAAGCTTTTGACAAGTCCAGTGCTACCAGGACGGTTCGCGCGCAGGATCGGTTTTGGTTAAGGCCATGGACTATCTGGGTGTTTATGGCGTTAAGTGCTGTTGTGGTACTGTGCACTTTTCGGAAGCTATGCTGATGCGCTGCTGCCCGCAGATGGTGAGTGAAAGTCGGGAGCAGTAAGGCCTCAAGTGTCTTCGCTACTGGGGAGAGGAGAGTTATCGGCCGATAGGACCACCCTACCCATTTTCCACACATCGGGTATCTTCAGGGTGGTCAGAGACAAATTGGCGTTTTTTTTTTATTATTCTGCGGCTGCAGGTCACAAGCTATTCTTATACGTTCAACTTGGCAGTGAATGGTGCGTTTGGCTTACTTCGAGGGGTACATATTGACATTTTCGTGAAGGACTTTGAGCAGCGACGAAGTGACTTACATGTACAAACAAGAAGTTGGATCAATAATATAATAGAAAACTTAATATTTTGGTTTAAGTTAGGAATGCTCAACATTATGGGAGTAATTTAGTATTTCTTCCTGAAATCCCAATCTGTCCTAGCTGTAAAGCATTTACTTAAAGACACCCACCGACTGACCGGTCACTCCAGCCAAGTATGTCATAATTTTGCTTCAAACTAGATATGTATGTATGTATATGAATGTAAAAAATGTTCGGCGGAGAAATGGAATTTTATGTGAAGCTTTCATTTTCGACTTTCAAAATCGGACACACATTTTTTAAGAGATTTTCATTCATATTAACATACATAAATACATATAAATTAACAGTTAAAGAGAGAGGTAAGAAATGCTATTTGATCAGATTTTGAAATCAGAATGCTATGAGGACGTGAATAAAATATTGGATAGCACAAAAATCCATTTCGTATTTGAACTTTCTATAATAAAATAAATACTTACGACAGAATTTATCTCCACCGCCAAACAGGTCATCTCTTCAAGATTTGTACGTAAAGATTCTCGCGGTCCCGTGAATTTTAATGAAATCCTTGTGCGAGCTAAAGGTTGACTGACCCATAGTAAGGCCCGAAAAGCCAACGACTCACATCCTGCCAACGGTTGAATATTTGTCAATATGAAATTCGTATCGAATTGCAAGAGACGCAAGCAACCAATGAGGTCTGGCAAATGACGTTCACGGCCGGCAGTATCATGTTCGTACCAAATTTTTATCGCGACAAAGACATCTTCTTCGCTAGACACATTCAAGTCTTCGCTTTCCACGATTTCCTTCAATTTTTCATAGTCAAAATTCATGAATTCAGCACTGCCTTTTATCTACGGTAAAAAGAAGGTGCAATGAGTAAAAAAGAAAAGGAAAGAATTAACATATTTATACATATACATATATACATATATATACATATGTAGATGATGCTACTATATTTAAAGTTGCTGCATCGTTGAACTCAAAATATTCCAAAGCCATTGATTCATATGCACATATAACGTATGTATGTATATATGGATATGAACATTTCTTCAATATAAATATATATATGTATAGAACTTTGAGCTCGAATAACAGTAATATGATGTCGCATAAAACTCTAACATATGAACATACAGTGGCTCAATAAAGAACTCGGACATACATTCCACTGTTATTAACATGCAGCTTCAAGCTAGATTTTTTTTTTTAACCATTTGATATTAAGCATTTTGTTTTTTATGTTTCTATAGGGTATCCAATAAGGATTTAAAAAAATACCAATAACAAACAAATTAAATAGTTTACAGGTCTCCAATACCCTTGCTTCAAAAAATTAACATGTGGCATGCTAGAAATTTCGCCAAAAAAGAAGTCGGACATCTGGTAATATTACAGTTGCTTTGCATTTTAATAAGGGGAATCCCACAATTAGATTGTTTTCGTTTAAAAATACATATATATATAATCAAACGTAATAGCTTTAAATAAAATTTCAGTATTTTTTTTTTTTTTTTTTTTTTTGAAAAAAAAAAGTGAAAAGTTCAAACCTGAGTAGACAGCGTGGAGAAAGCTCAATTGAAGTAAGGAAGTTAATTATTAGTTATTTTGAAATAGGAAAAACCATTCGGGAAATCGCAGTAATTGTGAGCAGACCCCGCTCGACTGTGCATGACATGATTAAACGATTCAAACAAACAAAATCCGTGGAAAGCAAAAAGAAGTCTGGACGACCGAAGTTGTTTTCGGCTGCAGATCAGCGGCAGATAGTGCAGCAAATCAAAAAAATCCAAACATGAGCGCTCCCAAGCTCTCAACAGAAATTTTCCACCATCTCAATATAAATTGTAATCCGGAGAGTATCCGAATAGTCTTACTAAAAAATTATTATAATGGAAGAGTAGCACGGAATGAGGTTATATAAATGAGGTTAACCGAAATAAAGGGATAAAATTTGCAAAATGTCATGGGAAACAAGTTTTATTTGCAGATAAAAGCATATTTAATATATTTAGGTCAGATGGACAGTCGTATGTTTGGGGAAAACCGAATGAAGAGTTGCTAGAAAAGAATTTACGTCCGACTGTTAAGCACAGGGGCGGCTCAGTAATGGTATGGGGTTGTATGTCCGCAGCTGGTACTGGAAATTTGTGTTTCATAAATGATAATATGGACCACAAGCAATATCTGACCATTTTAAAAGAAAATTTAGTGCTCAGTGCGGAAAAGTTGGGAATTAAAGACAATTTCCGATACTACCAAGACAACGATCCCAAGCATAAAGCACTTGATGTCCGTCTATGGTTGATGTATAACTGTGCTAAAGTGCTTGAAACACATCCTCAATCTACCGACATTAACGTCTGTGGGCTCATTTGGAAAATAAACTGAAATAAGAAAGACCTAGAAGCCGCTATTTCGGAAAAGTGGGGGAAAGTAAATTCTTTAACATGTAAGAATCTAGTTGATTCTTTGCCAAGAAGACTGAATGCTATCAGAAAAAGTAAAGGCTTGCCGACCAAATATTAAGAATATTTTGTTTCTTTTTAAATAATATTTTTAAATTCTATGTTATGTATATGTCCGAGTTTTTTTTTTTTTTGTCATCAGTTTTGTTAAGTTGTTATATTCATATATTATTTTTATACGACCGAGTTGAATTTAGTTTATGGTTTTAGTTGTTTTGAAAAATACACTTGAAGAAACTTGAAAATACGCAACTGAAAGCCCTCGATTTGCATTTTATTATATATTTTTTTTTTGTTTAAAGTCATATAACTTGTGCGTCCGAGCTGATTTTTGAGCCACTGTATATCTTTTGAAAATCTCTTAGCGGTTGTTATTGCGGTGAATTCGAAAATTACTCCGCTTGTTCTTCGTCTTCATTTTTCCAATGTTGTCCCAAAGGCAATGAGACTGTGTAATCAGAAAGTCATAACATTTAAAACAAGTTAATAAACGTTATTTACACCTATATTATTGTGGCTAACCCGTTATTGGACAAATCGACTGCGACTTTTGGTGAAAGAACTTTTATTCTTCTTGAAAAACCTCTTTAGACTTTCGAAATAGTATTTTTCAAAATTAATTGATATTAGCGAGACTTCACTGTACTTACTTCCATGAAATGTTGTATTTCATACTCCTGGATTTTCTGCCGAAGACGTTCACACTGAGTCTCGCGTTCCAGGGCATATACCCGCTCCAGTGATAATTCCGTTATATTTTCAAAAATAAAATTCACGCAGTCAGCAGCAGCCTCATCCAGTTGCAAAATATTTGCCGCCTTTAGCATTTCAGCGGCATTATCGTGGGTAATAAGCGTCTTTCCTGTATAACAAAATGCGATCAGACGCTCAAAGGTATCACTGTCAATATCGCTTATTTCGATGAACGGTGTTACACCTGGATCTCTGCTAAGAAGATTCTCGAAGAACGTATTGGTAGCTGACAATACCAAACGGTGGGCGGGAATTCTAAGAAAAATCGGATGTTAGTTCGTATGAAATGATTCAATCATTATTGAACTTTTGTATAAATCCCATTTTCTTGCAAAATTGTTGACATACATATTTACTTACAAAGCAGTAGGATTATAAACTTTAAATGTTACGTCCACCAGTTTTTGCTCATCATAAAACTGCCGAAGTCCACTTAGAAGTTTTTGAGGAAATTTGGAGCAATCCTCTGCAGGGGTTGACGGTGCAATGCTGCTTGCCATTTCTACCGGGATAAATTGCTGAAAAGATTGAAAATTTGAGTTTGGCAGTGATTGAAAACATAATATAAGCAATAATATTTTTATTCGAATCGACAAACTGGTTAGAATTGAGGAAAGGCTCTATAAAGAAAACATAAAATGTTTAACTTTGTACTATGTACACCATATACATATACTTATTTGCATGTTCAAATATTTGTTAACTTTGAAAATTGTCAAACTCACTCTGCATTACTACAACAACAATCACCCTCCAATTATAATTTTGACATAGTAAAAAATAAAACAAAAAAATAAAAAAACTAATAAATAAATTAAATAAAATAAAAAATATATAAATTAAAAAACGAAATAAAATTAAAAAAAAAATATAAAAATTAAAAAAAAATANAAAATAAATAAAATAAAAAAGTAAATAAAATAAAAAAGTAAATAAAATAAAATAGTAAATAAAATAAAAAACCAATAAAATGAAAAACGAAATAAAATTAAAAAAATGAATAAAACGAAAAAAATAAATAGACAAAAAATAGTTGGAAGAAAAATAAATAGAAGAAAAATAAATAGAATAAAAAAAAAATAAAATAAAAATAAAAAAAATAAAATATATAAGTAAAAAAAAATAAAATAAAATATATAAGTAAAAAAAAATAAAATAAAAAAATAAAATAAAAAAGAATAAAATAAAAAAGTAATTAAAATAAAATAAAAAAATTAATAAAAAAAAAAAACAACAAATAAAAAAAATAATTGACATACTGTATGTATGTACATACATATATATATGTACAATGCATAGTTTTTAAATCCGAATACATAGTGTCTACATTTCATTTTTTTTCTAACATTCGAATCTGAAGCGTAAAATAATTTACCCAGGACTACTCAATTCGCAAACAATTCAAACACAACTCCCCCAAAAGGACTTCAAATTGAATAGTTATGTTTGAAAATTCATATGTATGTACTATGTACATAAACACTTATACATATATGTATGTATCTAAATATCGTCGGCGCAAGAGCACCTATCATATTCAAGTAAATCAAGATCTTACCTTAAAACGAATTAAATAATAATTATTGTAATTTTTATGTAAGAATTTTTTTGTCTGAAACCACTTCACTTCACTTCACTTCACTAGACTTGCTCACTTCTGCGCTTTTAGAAGTTCGAATTTACAATGAAAATATGTGCGCAATCAGCGGTAAATTAAGTCATTTGTTTATATTTTGAGTAGATCTTATTCTCGGCTTCTTGGCGTCTGTTTGCGCATCAGTGTGTGAATTTGAATGTTTTGTAAAGCGTAGGATCGTTCTCCGTGCACAAGAAAAGTACTTGTGGAAGGTATTTCGAGAAAAGCTCTTGATGGGTGATTTAAAACATTTTTCCTGTTCTAAAGGGTGTGCCAAAATTAACTCTAAATTTTTATGTATTTTCTGATTCAATGAAATATCACAAATTGAAGACTAAAAGCTATGTTTTCGACTATAATTAAGTTACTTCTTTTTAATGTTTGTAGACTCAACTTTACTGTGGCTACTCCCACCACGAATAGCGAATCTCTTTTTCACTACAAAGGAAGATGTTGTTGCAGTTGTTGTTGTTGTTGTAACCGCAAAATTAATAACAAAATAGTACTTATTGGGGAATAATGCGGGAGTGACAGTTTTTGACCGAATAAAAATCCGGGTCGTTCCGTTATAAAGACCCGACTTTCGCGGGAACTATTAGATTTTAGTCGCCTCTTACGACGGGCATGCCTCACCGCGGGTAAATTTTTAAACCCTTAACCCGCAGGGGAGATAGAATTCATTGTTTAATATTCTTTTCCTAGTTATTGAGATTAATAACATAATTTTTATTAAAATAAATAATTAAAAAAAAAATAAGAAATAAAAATCAATTAAAAACTGATTTTACTGAATAAAGATGTAATATATGTTTTTCTAATAAGAACTTTTTATTTTTAGTTTTTAACTTAAAAATATTGTATAAAATTGGTGTTAGTAGGCAGTTTAAAAGTGTAGCAGTAACGCAGTCAAGTTGAAAATGCAATCAAGTCCGAGCACTGGTGTATATTTGTGCACACACGAGCCCGAGACACACTTTGCAGAAATCGCTTAAAGCCTAGTTATGTGCACTTAGAAAACTTGGCGATCATATCGGCAATATGCTGCTGGTTGCATGAATTATGGAATATCTGCATTCCAATTCCGCCAACAGCTTTGAAGTTTGACAATCAATTGCTCTTTCGCTGACGTCACACTTTTGAATCGCAATGGCAAAGTAAAGAAAATATATTACCTCTCTTCGATATATGAATGTATGTTTGTATGTAATTTAAAATCGTGAAGTAGATGTAAATATCATTGTTGCAATCGATTCACCTACTTTGTTGTTTATACTGTACGCAGCACAGCGAAGTGTCATTTGATTTAGGCAAATATGGAAGTATTATACCCTTTCGACTGCTTAAGAACCCAAATATCAAGTGCCACTTGAAAAAGAAGAGAACGAGATTAACTTTATTATTGTACTAGCTTACGTTCACGCAAAGCTCATTGAGCAGAGTTGCTGAGCGACACTACGGAAGTCTAAGGCTGCAACTACCCAACTCACTCTCCAGCCGTCCATAACTGACGACGTTAGTAGTGAAATACATACACGAGCTATCGACGCCGCTGAGAGCGGCGAAATGTTGCCAGCTGCCTGTGTGTTTGCACACTTTTGAACAAATTCATAATTTTCGTCAACGAATTTCATAATTTATTTGCTTTAACATAAACACAAGGCAAATATACATGATCTATATAGTAACAAATAATTAGTTACGCATTTAGTTTTCATTTCTTTTGAACAAAACTACGCATTATCTTCGATTATTTAATGTTACTTTAAGAAAGGCTATACTGGCAACCTTGTATAGCAACGAAAAATGAGCCGAGCCGGTTTTACGGAAAAATCAAAACTTCGTTGGTTTCTGCGACACAAACGTCAGCAACGCTATGGTAAATCGGTGACAACTTTGTGTTTACATGGTGCTCTCATAAGATAGGTTACTATGGACGGCTGGTACGCTCGTTGGGTAGTTGCAGCCTAATGTAAGTTGTCTACTTTCACATATGTATTGTACCCATGTACGTAGCCATGAACCATAAGTTTTGTGTAAGTAACTGAGCCATAAGTAAAAACGAGCATGTTCGTGTGTATATATGAATGCGTGTATAAGGAGCGTATGAGTTTTTCGGTTATTCCCATTTTTAATTGTCGTCCATCGTTATTTGTAAACCAAATGAGTTAGTGAAGAAGAGAAATAGCTCAAATTTTGGTTTTTTTTAAATATATATGTGCATAAATATGTAAATACATAGGTATGTATGTAGATCCGTTCACTATATGAAGATTCGAATTTCGTTAGACGTACTTAAATACATACATACGTAGATATATATACATATATTTATATAAGAACATAATATGTATGTATGTTTGTACTTATATGCATACATATGCATATATCTGCATAAAACTATGTGCATATGTACATTCCCTATCGAGATGCGGCTGCAATCAGTAAAATGAGCTTAATTTTTTTCCTCAAATTAATTTTCTATAATTTTGGAAGTTGTTTGGGTCAGGACTTGAAGTACGCAATAACTTTTCAACTGCTGCTAATATCTATTACCATTGTACTTACATATGTATGTACGCATGAATGTACATATTATATGTTTGTAGGGTAAATGCGCTCGTTACGGGCTCGGGCGAATAACATTTTCTTCAACTTCATGCTCAACTGTATTTCATGCTTCGACTTATGTACATACATACATACATATGTTTGAATATATGTATGAATGTATGTGAAAACAATTGATACAAATTTAAATATTATTTAGCCTTTTAAGTTTTTGTTTTTGTTTTTGTCAAAGTCACATTTGTAAAATATTTCGGATTAGTAGAAGGACATTTTCTTTAAGGAACGGACAATAAAAGTCCAGTAAGCGGCCACTCATCTAACACGGATTTTTATTGAAAATTAATCGATTTTCTTAAAAATAAATAAAAATATACTCATTCATTGTATTGTATTACTAGAGTTTTCAACAAAAAAAACTAAATAAAGAATGTCTGACGATCTCTGGGTTATCGCTGCGATTCGCTCGACGGTTGCCGGGGTCCTTCACAAAAAAGGAAATAAAATTGGAGGTCGTTTTTGCTTTATTACAAGCAAGCGCCTTCGTAGAGGTGTTAAAGCTAGTGGAGTCGATCCTCACAGCTGCACTTACAGAAAAGGAGTAAATGCTCGCCTCATCTAAACCATGAAGACGCGCACCACAAATCGAAGGAGAAGTCTAGTCGGTCTCTTTTGCAATTATCAAACCATGTTATAAAAATTATTCGTTGGATAACTCCTAAGAGACTTCTCAACCAATGTCGTCTGCCATATTTCCGCACACAGTGGGTTGAACGCCTTGCAGAGTTTGGTCTTTTGTCGAAATATTCCATCTTCTCTTTGCTGGTGATGTCTTACACCATTCGGTTGTCCCTAACTGGATTGCTTTCTCAAGACAGTCTAGTCTATTTTCTCGATACACAGTCTTCTTGTCTAAAACCACACTTGGTGACAAACTGTTCGTGGTCATACCTCGCAATTCCGGCTCTGTTGGCAAAGAAAATTAAAGCCAAGGCATAGTGATGTAGGTATAGCTCTTTTTTGTACCGCTGAATGCGGCTTTTAAGCCACAGAAGGAATGATATGTGCTGATTCCCTTAAAGGATTAAGTTTCTGGATCCAATCAGTGCGCTGAGAAAGGCTCCTGGTGGAGAAAAGCGATATTGCGGGGACTTCTCCCTTGATAATCAACTTTCATTCCGTCATTTCACTACCGAAACTTCTAGTACGAACACAATTCGACCCATCTTCCTCAATCCGTACCCAAGTGCGTCTCCTTCGCACTTCTGTTGAGAGATTTGTGTGGATTTTCCCGATTCATCCTGTGTAAATTTTTTAAGGTAATAAATGATCGGTGACCCACAAAAGTGTAAAACAAGGTCGGCCGGCGCATCGATTCAAGCGATTATAGATGAATAGCTTGACGCATGTGAGAGTCAATTTCCACCAAGTGATGCTACTTATCGATCCAGTGTTGGTCGTAAATATGTTAGGCGAACCCTAGATCACGCCAGAATGGTGCCACCAAGTGATAGTTTCTGGAATACTCGTACCAAGTGTGGCTTTTCCCTCAGGGAAATAGTTTCATATCATCGTAGCCTTATGTGTGAGGCTCATCTTTATGTTGGCACACATTGATAAATGCGGTGGTAGATTCCCGCAATCTGGAACAGTGGAGGACACATTCCTCTCACGTGTGGTGCACAACTGAGAAAATAACTAAAAGTGGCAGCAGCCAGAAGAAGGTTAGCAACAGTCGCCTATCACTTTGCAATATTTCCTTACCTTACACGTGGAATAGGCAGTGTGAACTCGCTCATCTCAGTTGTAGTCAAGAGCCACTACAATGGACTGTGCTGTGTCAAGATTTTATTAGTTCACATTTCGGTGTGTCGAAAACTTGTATGGAAAGAAAAAAAATAACTGTGGATTGAAGATTTATTATTTTCACTTTTATTTATGGATAAAAATATTTTTGGAAGTTTTCATATTTTATTATTTTATTTATTCCAATTATAAGAAAGCTTCAGGCACAATAAAGCAGAAGAGGAATAAAATATAATAAAACTTAAGGATGCATAACAACAACACACAAACATAGCTTAAGCTTTGGAAAACGCTAATTGTACATTCATACATATCTACATTTAGTATATAGATCCCGGTCCTTGAAATCGAAATCCCCGAAACAGATTTACCAACATTTTTGTGGATATTTGGTAGGAATAACAGTGTGTTAAGAGAGTGTGGAGTGTATTCCACACCGCTAGGTGGCGCATGAGTCCACTTGTCCGGAAAATCTTTTATCTGCATAATTTGTATAACGAGAACCACAACAAAAATTTGTATGTGACATTGAACTCTACGATGAAAATTTTCGAAATAATTACTTTTAGTGCGATTTTGGGATTATATTTGAAGTTATTTTACTTTTAAAAATTATTACTGTTATTGTATTGGAATTGACCAAAGCTAATCGTAGCGACAAATTCCAACTTAACCAAAAAATTTCCATCGATTCGGTTGCAATATCGGCAAATGTTATCGTTAAAGCAGTTATCAGAATAAATTTTGTCTCGTTTCGACCCGAAACGAAAAGCTATCAATGGTCGTTAATGTTAAATCTTTAACAGATAATGTTAAATGTTAAAATTGGAGTGGTGTGCTGTTAATATCATCGCGAGCAGCAATTTCAATTTCGAATTACCGTTAACGCTGAGTTTGTGCGGTAGTTGGGCATCTCTGGAATTAACCATGTTTTTGTGTAAATCCCAAAAATTTCATGAATTCAAATTACAAATACAAAAATAAATAGATTTTTATCTATCACCCTCAAATAGGTATCTCAGGACTTTGAAAACTATATACCCACATAGAAAAAAGTAGCTGAGTTCGAATGGCACTTTTGTAAAGTTCAACAAATTAACTGAAAGTAAATTTTTTATTATTGAAAAGTGCTCAATCGTAGAAACTTTTTAGGCGTGCTTGTGAAGGCATCACAAATTTAGTCAATATGTATTGTTCGAAAGAACTTCCCGACTTTAGCTAGAATTGAACGCTTAGAATTAGGGATGCTTCATATCACGATTAACGGAACGATGTTGCTCGGTTGGTCTATTGGAAGAATACTTCTACGAATATGTGGGAAAAACATTTCTTTAGTTTATATATGTACATACATAGCCATATGGATAAAGTGGAGGAAATCGTATTGGAAAAAAGTCTAATATAAAATCCGATGAAATTCTATATCGTCGGATCCTCTACTCATTGGCAGTACACTTATCTCTCTTATTTAATCATAAACTATTTTTTTATGTCCAATATCTAATTATAATTTTCTATTGTAGAAAATAAATCTAATGGCTATTTGCTGGAGGAAAACGTTAAAGAAAGCACGTCGCCAAGAAGCTTTCCGAAATAATTGCGCAAAAGTTAAGTTTTTTAAACCAAGAGCGAGAGGACAAATTTTTTTACACAGATCCGATTCCATTGGAACTTACCATTTCAAACCAGCCAGTAATGAGTTAACTAAACAGCATAATAAAAATTAGCGGAATGAGTCTAAAACAAAACTAAAGAGAGAAACTACTTTAAGGTGACTATAATAAAATGTCTGCAGATTTTATTTTTACAAGATGCATATTTTAGAAGATTAGTGTTTTTAAATTTCAATTAGTTTTATTTATGAAACTATGGCTTAAATAACGACTACAAATCTAATGTGCTGCTAGCATATCCTGAATGTTGTACGGTCATGTGTGTTTGACCTTCAAGCATGCTTAGCACCCCTACGCTATTTTGCGAGGTTGAACTAGTGATATCCTGCAAGCCACTATTAAGGACACCAACATTTTGATCATCCGATGCTGGCATTTCAAGTATATTCAAGAAGTCACCTTCTTGAAATTCTTCCTTTTGCATAATTTGACTCTCTTTCATTAGTTTGTCATATTCCTGAAGTACACCATTGAATTCCGCTATTTCGCTACGGTTGCGTGTAACCAACTGATGTTTAAAATAATTATGCACATTAGTCAAAGAAGCATTAGTCAATGAATAATAGGCCTTTTCTAGACTTTTTACTTCTACTTCATTCTCCATTTCAATCTGTGGGTTATTGGCGTGAACTTCCCGAATTCGCTGCATGAAGTTGCGCATAAATTCTTGTGCAGCATCGGAAAAGAGCACTAAAGCAGATTCAGAAATATCAGTAAAGCCACATACACGAAGTTGTCCGCAAACAGCTTTTCTTAATGCAGCGCGACATATTTCAGGATTAATTTGAGGATAGGTCTGCGGAACACCACGGGCAAAGCTGCTCTCAAGTGGGGGAATAAACCATATAGGTTTCGCGAATTTGTCGTCACTTATAAAATCTGCGGCATTTTCGGGAGGAAAATCAACCTCCGGTATCATTTGGCATGGATTTAAAAGATAATTTGATGTACCCTGAGAAAAGATATACATATTTATTACGAGTCTACAAATAACAATTAAAGGATAGCTCACCGATTTATTGGAGTATGTATCAATAAGTGATTGCAACATTTCTGTCTGCTTCATAACTTCTATTGTTTGCGTCACTAAGGGATTCTTAACCTGTAATTGTATACTTTAAAAAAAAATAATTTATGATACCACTTTATTACAAATAAACAAAGATTCTTACCTCTTGTTAGTAGCAGACGGCAATCTTTCCTGCATCTCTTCAAGCTTTGTGCGTTTCGCTGCAACAGGAACTATTTTGTCGACTTCATTTTCCTTTGCTGTGGTTTCTTTAAGTTTTCCCCAAAGTTGTCGGGGCATAATTAAATTTATTTTAAATAATTCTGCTCTAGCAAAAAAATGTTTACAATTTGCAAGAAAACGTTCAATACCAACGTTCAATACTAGCGACAGAAATATACGTTCTCTGCACTTCAGGCGTAATTCGGTCACAAAAATGTTTATGACGAATTATGTGATTCGGCATGTATTTGGAGTGTGAATAATGGTTGAGGGAACTAACAACGTAATTGCAAATATAATTAATAAAGATAATAATTAATATACGTTCTATGCTTTGATGTTACAATTGTTTCCCAGGTCTTTAAACGCCAGCAGATAACTAGGTTATTGGAAAAGTCAGTAAAGTTGAGTTAATATGTAAAAAAGACGTTTATTTACAATTCAACGGCACTGTTTAAATTTATTAATTTGTTTGGCTATTGTGACCTCTCAATTTTATGCAATTATTGTGAATTTTACCAGAACCTAATCCGTTTTGTACTTTGTGACACGTTAAAAAATAGAATTTTACTAAAAAATCTGTCATAAATGTTTAGAAACTAGTTCTAAAATAGAAAGGATAGTAAATAGCTAGTTAAGAACCCGTGGCTTTATTAAAAATGGATCCCATGGCGTTGCATGCACCTGTGGACTTCAACAAAGTAAGTGTCTATTGGGACTTACCAATCTGTTCCATTCAATTGGATTTGATACCAACTTTAATACATTTGTAGTCATTAGAGGAAATGACACCAGAGGAAAGGATGCGTGCTGAACATCAACTGATGCATGAAAAACACAAAGGTCATGAGGCAATGCATTCCGAAATGGTACTTGTATTACTCATAACACTTATTGTGGCACAGGTTATATTAGTTACATGGAAGCAACGTCACTATAAATCCTATGCGGTATTTCATATCTATGCTTTTTAACTTTCAACAAATACTAAAAAGAAATGAATTGATTTTAGGCAACGACACTAGTCGCGATGTGGTTAATACCGATGGGAATATCGATCAGTTACAGTTTTATACGATTTATTGTCATTTGGATATTATTCTCGCTATTAACTGCATTCGTTATCAGAAAAGCGGTTAGCAAACCTATAGAGCGCACAACACCAAGGTAAACTACGTAGATTAAAATGTTATCATAAATATTTTTACGATTTTTTATTTTTCAGATTAGTGTACAAATGGTTTTTACTTATATATCAGATTAGTTATATCCTCGGCATAGGCGGCTATATTGTGATGATGGCTACATTTATAGGTTTTAATTATATTTTCAATCAAGGTCCTAACGTATGGATGGACACGGGCTTATTACTCGTGTTTTACGGTCTTTATATTGGCGTATTGGGCCGTGACATATCTGAAATTTGTTCGGAAAAAATGGCTGTACAAATTGGAGTAAATTAAATATTTCTACTTACAGATTTTGGCTTACTTTATACAATAATTTCTTTTCATGTTTTTTTTTTCTTGTCTTACTTCAATTTAGTATTACACTCCACAAGGCATACCCACACGTCATCTAGATAATAATGTATGCGCAATTTGTGGGAATCAGCTTTTGGTGAACGTCAAAGAAGAGGGTCTCTTTGAAAACACCTATAAGTTAACTTGCAATCATATTTTTCACGAATTCTGCATTCGTGGTTGGTGTATTGTGGGTAAAAAGCAAACTTGTCCTTATTGCAAGGAAAAAGTGGATCTCAAAAGAATGTTTCGTAATCCGTAAGTTTTTTATTTAGTTAATGTTAAATTTAGACACTCATCTCTGTTCACACATGAAATTACAGTTGGGAACGGCCGCATGTACTATATGGACGATTACTAGATTGGATTAGATGGCTTGTCGCTTGGCAACCGCTTATTTTCTTCATTGTACAAGCAATAAATTGGGCCTTAGGTTTAGAATAATAGTGGACACAAAGTTTCTTCTAGTCATTAGATAATTAAAATAAAATAAAAACATCAAACTGAACCAATAACTCAGTATCGTGTCGTGGTAATACATGAATGACATACTACGTAGTTTGTATTAGTTAACACCATAGCAGAGAAACATCAATATCAACAGACACATTAAGCAAATGATATACATAGTTTCATGGTAGAAATTGAATAATTATTTTTAATTTTTGGTGAAGTATCGTTGGATTTTTGATAATAAGTTAATGTTAATACGTGAAAAATATTATTTGTACGTAGAAAACTTATTTATTTAATTTTTAAATACATTTTACAATATTATATTGTCATCTTAATTAGAGAATATGTATTGTATATATGTATGTATGCATGTATGAATGTATGTAATTCTGCAGTTCACCATATATGGCTTCAAAATAATGTATTTCAATCCTTAAAATTTAAATAATCATGTATGTAGGTATGTAGCAAGTAATAAACACAAAAAATCCTTACAATATCGATGTGCATACATATGTACATATGAAAGCATTTTTTTAAATAGTAGACGTGGTTTAGTACATACGTATTACCACATTAAAAATAAAAATATTTGTTAATTTCAACACATCCGCTGCTTGGTCCGGTTGATCTCTTGTCCATCATTTGATTAAGATTTTCTCAACATTATTATTCATTAACATATCAATTCTCCCGCTGAATGCATGCATATAAAACAAGATAGATGCAACATTGTTAGCACTCTTATTATACAGAAAATTACATCAATATGAAATAAACCAAATTCAAATTTTTTCCGTACTTATGTTTTGAAAACGTATCGAACTTTTTGTAAACACTGTTTTTATTATTCCGTTCACTTGAAAAACGCATGTAAGCTCGCAACAACACCGGCGACGCCTATAAAACACTTAATATGAGTACACTATGGTTCCACATAACAAATCTAATAACCAGAAGCACCGATCATGCTACGAATTTGTTCAAATGACAGCCAGAATGTTAGAGACCACGGCGCCATACGGATCCAGCATGGCAGGAAACCTTTGTAAAGTGCACCAAATCCTTCTTTGTTCACCGTTTGACGTAGACAATCGACGGAACCTTTGTAGAGTAGTCCTCTAAAAAAAAAAAACCGTAAATATATATATAAAAAATATAACTTTTACTTTTTGTTTATATCAAAAAAATGTTTCTTACCTGCCCTTTTCGTCCGTTGGCTGATTCATTATTCTTGTCTTTACCACATCTGCCGGCGTTCCCATAATCGCAGCGACAAAACCAGCACATATGGAAGAAAGTACATGTACCGTATGGCAATCAGGCATATTCAATTTAATCATAATCATATGTTTGATAGTGTCGTATGTTGTGAGATCACCCAAATTAACAAGAGCAGCTCGTTGCACATTCGGAATACTGCCTTTCCATAGTCCAGCTACACCACCTCGACGAACAATTTCTTTGAGAGCATGCGCAGCGCCATGTACACGCGCTGGTTCTCCCATAAGGCGACGTTTTCCTTCCATTTGTATTTGTACCTTGACTAAATCGGCCGGTGAGGCCAACCATTGTGCTACTGCCCCAGCGGACACACCACAAAGTGCTGATTTCCATAATGGTAATGTAATGATGCCGTTATTATCACTTCCAAGCTTGCGACGTAGAAAGTCGTAGCTACATATACGTACGCCGCTGTAACGTTAAGAGAAAAATTATAATATTGCAATAACGCAAATATTAAAATAAACTTATTATATAATACTTACCTGTAAACAACATGGCGATAAAGAGCTGGAGTTACACCTTGCCACAATTTCATTGTACCCTCCTCCCTTACGATGCCAAAAGCTGTCGCCACCATGCCACGGTACTGCACGGGTCCATTAGCAGTATCATAGAATCAGGGAGAGAGAACGAAAGTAAGAGGAGTAGAATGAATGCACTACGCCCCAGAACGGCAATTAAGAGGTTACAAACAGACGAATGGATTAAACATATTCTCACTAATGTTTACGAGTGAATAATTAAAAATTTTATACGAGTACATAAGATGAAATGGAATGAACGCATAATTTTAGTAATTTGAAATAATTTTTCAAAAAAAAAATACATACTATTTAAATATAAAACACATTAAATGACAAGTTTGACACACAAATAAATATGTATGTGTAAGTATGAGGGATTACAAAATTATAATTGCATAAAAGTTCTTAGTCACCTTTGTCTTAGTCCCATTGCCGGTCTTTAACTCCGAGGCTGCTGCTTCACCTTGTATTTGTAAACGAGTTTTGGTTAGATCCAGCGGATATGTGGTTAGTTCCGCCACAGAAGCAGCTACGACTGACACTACATAAGTACAAGCAAACGAATCGGCATAATCGTATTTAACAGGACGCAATTGATTGCGTGTCGTGGATCCTGTCGGCGGTGGGGGTGGAGGTGATGGTGGCTCCGCCGTCGATTTGCTTTGAGTCTGACTTTGCATTATAAGGCCTTCTGTATCACTTTTTATAGCTACTGGCAGCTGTAAAATATTACAAATTTACATACATATGTATATACATATTAGATTTCCAAATGTACGCAATTGTTAAAATCATATGCTCAACTGAATGCATATGAAAAGTTCAAAGTTCAGTCAACACAGAAATGGCATCGACGTTCAAATCTTCAATTTTTAATTTTAATCACGTCAAATATTTCGATATTTTTAAACTCTCCACTGGTATATGCATAGACGTACATTTCATAATCAGTTAAAACAGGCCCCTTTATTTCTGCATGGACCGGTTTTCTCCTTATCATACTTTTTACTTGCTCCCGCTTCACAGTTTAATTTTATCGATTCGTTTACAAACAAAACTATAAGTAATTGGCATTGAAACTTTTTTCTCATGTGACCCCATGTAATCATATATGTATTTTGATTACGAATACAATTGGATAGAATCTATATGCCCATACATATAAAAAAAAAACATAATATACGTGCTTGCATATACCTATGTTACGACATTTATACAAATTTGAATTCAATTCCGATTCTCTTGTACATTTCTTTTGTTTACTTTAACAAAATATATTTTCTGTTGGAGTAATAGCTATTAATTCAATATGGTACTTTTTTATTATTTAAAAGAAATTTTTCACTTACACTTTATTACAAACCCTTTTTACATAATGAATCTCCTCTAGCGAAGGAGATATGCTTGCCCAATCAGTCTATTCACTCTAGAAGTGCCAGTCTTTTGCGGTCACTGTAATTCTTTTAATTAATCTCCCTGGACCGACTAAAAAATTACATAAAAAATTTGATCCTTATCAATGATTAATTAAAATTTATTAGTTTATAAAACAAAACTAAAAAAAACAAGAAAACACTTCGCCACTCATGGCACAATAAAAAATGTGCCGAGTACTACACAAAAACTGATCAAAAAATGTACAATAAAATAAAGTGTCAAAATACATATGAGATCACATATGTCAATAAAAGGCCAATCACAATGCGCACTTCGCGTGCGTTATTAACGTGATAAACGTTACGAATGTGCGTTGAGGATAAATATTTGCAAACAAATTTATGAAAAATTTTTAATAAATCATTTTTGAATTCATTTAAACCATGATTCAAAATAATGCGTGTAAACATTGGACTCTTTAGCCTCACGGTTTTCTAAATTTTTGAGTTTCATTAACTTGATATGTCTTCCAGCTTTTCAACCAAAGGAGATTCCTTGTCTCATAAGATCTTAAATGATTAATACGGATCCAAGGGAATGATGTTTTTTTAAAGACCGGTGAAATAAATAATTCCAATTTCATAGCTCAATGAACTTTAGATTTTATTTATTTTAGACTCCAAAACTAAATAAGTTGAATACTTATATCTATTGAGCGTGTAAAATAACTTGCTTGTATTTATCAAAGTTCATAATATGTATGTATAAACAGAAGCACAAAAACAAAATTTGCACATACATATATATGCGGGTAAATGATACATGCATATATATGTATGTATGTATATATGGATATTTCATTATTACAATATTGTTCTTCTTACTGTTCTACGGCATTATAAAATATTCAAACCATTTCTAAATTTATTAGTACCAATGTAATTTTTTCTTTTAAATACATATAATAAGAGAAATGTAAGTATAATTATAATATATGTATATGTATAAGAATGAGGAAATAGGAAAAACTAACGAATATTACAAAGAACATCGTTGAAAAGTGCAAAACAAAGAAATCGTATAGTAATTATTATTATTTAAATCAACACTCTCCGTACGTAGCATTCGCTCAAATCACGCTTTTTCATTCCATGTTTACTGATATCACAACATTTACTTGCGGACAACTATCGCTGTTCAACACGTCTGTAGACATTAAGTGCGACATGCGGTCACTAAGTTCAGCCTGTGAATCCGCCATTCCAGGTGGAACCATCCAAATAGGTTCTATGAAAAAATATTTATTTAAGTAACTTTCCATTGAAACATGCAATCAACCATTACCTCCAACGTTCCAACCATTAGGTGTACACAATCTCCACATAATCGCCGGTTGGGTTGGATGAATATCTGCTAAAATATCACAAGTTTCTCCTGGTTTCAGAGCAGGCACTTCAATGCGTCGCTTTTGACTAGGTGCCGTTAAGTAGCATCCGTTTGGCCAGTCAATAGTGCCATCATTTTGTAACCTAAACGCTTGTTGATTTTCATTTGGACGAGATTGTTGAACAATTTTCATTGAAGGCAGCGTTTGAAATGTATGTATATCCAAATAACATCCTACAGCAGTTTGTAGATTCCTTTCAATTTTCAAATTTATCAAATAAATATATATGAATATTTGTGTAAAAATTTCAATTCACTTCTCACCAATTACTCATTTCCAAATAGAATTTCGCCGCATCTTGATCCACTTGGTTGTTCATAAGACTTTGAAATTGTCTAACCAAATCCTCATGATCCGTAGTACCTAAACAACTGAATTGTTGAAGAAGCAATGAATCAATATCAATTTCGTTTCCTAGACGATGCTGTTGTAATAAGAAATTCTGTTGTTCTGGACCCTGCAGCTGTGGTTGCGGTTGCGGTTGCGTCATCAGAGGTGATTTCATTTGTGGCGGTGCTGGAAGAGGTATAGCTTGGCCAGATGATAAGAAAGGAGGCGATGATGATGGATTTATCGTTGTTTGGTCAAAACCATTTGTATTTGGTAGCGCAAATGGCATTGCCATGGGTGTGGTGGTAGATGAGGCAATTTGTGCCTGAAAAGCGGGTTCGCATTGCATTTGCAATTGTTGATGTTGTTGGAGCTGTTGCTGCTGCTGTTGCAGATCATCAGCTTGTTGTTGTTGATGATCGAAACTCTCGCTTACGTCCATTTTATTAGCGTTTTTATTGCTCACCTGCTATAAGAGAAAAATTAATAAAGTAAACTTATTGACATATTTTTGATTGGGAACTACCTCATTCTTATTAGAAAACACACAAAACGACAAAAAGATGGGACAACTGATCAACCTACATATAACACCTTTGTCCTCTGTCCATCTCTTTGTCTGCCTATCTTCAATATACATATACATATAAGCTCCGTTGTTTATTACCTTTTGTGCTGCGATCCTCTGTGTGGCTTATCAAATTACAAATACTCTATTAGCCCTTTCAAGTTTTAGTTTTTTACCACAACTTTCTACAAAATAGAGAAAATATTTGCTAAATATCTCGGAATTCTACTGCAGATGCTGATAAACGCAATTAGCGCAACAACAAAATAAACATGAAAAAGAGGGGATAAAAATCAGTAAAAATCACTCCAATGTCAATTTCACACATTCAGACATATGCAGAGTCGTATTTTCTAATATTTTCATGAAAGACGTAACAATTTGCTGAAAAGTGAAAAGAATATATTTGTTCTTACACACAAAGAGTTTAATAATTGCAATCGGTTGTGTTCGATAAAATGTTGATTCGTTATTTTTTTTTTTAGAAAAGTTTATAGTATAGCATAAGCTTCGGCAAAATGGTAGTTGTTACTGCCAGTATCAGACAGAAGTTATTTTCAATATTTAATCGAATATAGAATGCAGAAATGGATAAAGTATGTAGCCTTAAAAGCCCAAATGAATGTAATTTGCTCTCTCAATAATATCGCAGACGTGCGCCATTAAAGCTAAACGCTGCGTAACGGTTATTTACGTTGACGGTAGAATGTAAATAATTTGGCGTTTGGCTTGGCAATGTCAAGTATTGTAGCGTGTGACACATAAGAAAATTAAAAAAATGTGGAAGAATTGGATGTAGAAAGAGATCGAAATCGAAAATCAAATCAGTCCAAGTGAAAAAATTCCATAAGGCGAAAGCAAAAGTTGGTAAATAAGTTCTGATTGGATTTATATGTGGAAGTGAAAACATTGACCGTGAAAATGGAATTATTTAGTCTATTCCACAATATTAATTGCATATTTTAAAATTAATCAAAGATTATGATTACTAAGTGTACTATTGCAAAACGACAACAATAAAATTAAGGTTAACAATTGGTGCTTAATTAGGTTTCGAGAGAATCCCGAGGCTTCGTTTCCAATTAAGAAGTAACGAACTAGTGAACAACCGAGCGCAAAGATACGCAGAGTAGGTGGATAGATATGTGTATGTATAGTATATCAAACGTTTACTTATAGAATTTATCAAATTGGAGTTTAAGCAGTAATCGTTAATCCAATAAGCAAAAACATATTTACTCCATAAATTAATTGGATCAAAGTAAAAAGTGCAAACGAGTGAGTTGAAATTGGATAACCTTTTTATGTTTTAGTAACAGTTTTTATTCGAATTTTACATGTCATGCCCATTGTGATAACTTATGAATATTTGCGTCATCCATAGATATGAACACTGAAATGGTAAAAAACAAACAAAACAAATAATACATAGAACTACGAACAAGTGTCCTTAGAAATTTTCCGGATTGAATGCATGTACATATGTATATGATATGTACATATGTACTTGGGTATAACGAAAGCACACTTTGCCAACTCACTCCAGTTTTAACTAAATTAATCCCCTCTTCTACCTCTTCACTGACATCTTTCTTTAAATTTAGAAAACCATGTACATATGTATGTATGTATGTGGCAAAATATTATGCCTATCACCATAGTTGTTGCTAATGATAGTTGCATCAATCATAACACTCTCAACAAGCTCTGCGCCTAACTGGGAGGCATAACGTGGTGGCCTGGTGTTCAACTCCATTCTTTTCCGCGATTCATCGCTCAGTCAGTTTATGTAACAAGTGTGTTTTCGGTGTTGTTATTTCAGTAGTGAATTATATATAATTTTTGCATATGCATACATATGTATGTATCTACTATATGTACACATGTGAATACCCATACATAGTAGTATGTATGAGTAGATATACGAATATGTTTAATAATTTTAATTTATTTGGTACTCCCTTTCGATGCAAAACAAAAATAATACTGTTAACGTACGTTCAAATGTAAATAAAGAATATATATTTGGCTGTAAGCCAAAAAAAATTTCTACTTCTAAAGAGACAAAAAAAAAAAAAATATCACCACAAAAACTTTCAAACTATTAATGTACATATGCATGATTAAATTCAAAGTAAATTTAGCGGTAATAATCTAACTGACTGATATTAAGAATGATAATGTAATATTTACCGTCGAAAATTGTAAAGGTACGTCTACATATGTATAATGTATGTAATAATTATGTTAAGTATATATACATGTTTGATTTGTAAAGTTAGACATATGTACATACATATGTATATGTATATGTATTTACATATATTCCAATTGAAGAAAACGGTTATTTATACAGATATCATACCCTTAAGGTGCAGTCAAACACGGCAAATTATTGATTGTATTGTTACGATTTTACTGAATCAACCTCGATTATTTTCTAGATCCTTCGGGTACGATCTCTGGATTGTTAAATAAAAACTCGCCAACTTAATTTGCAGTTTCTTTCGTTATAAAGATTCTATCTAATGTCCTTTATTTTCTCAGTAATTCACAATTCAATTATACTGCACTTTACTATTTATAATCACTAACATCAACTTTCACAATTTCCTCTACTTAAATGTAATTCCCAACGCGTTCACTTTACGTCTTCACTGATGTTAACGCCAACCAATTTGCTTTGTCACTGCCTGACTTGCAGCTGAGTGTCGCCTTTATATAGCAGTCGGCTGCTCGCAGACGAAAGCGTAGAAGCATCGAATTGTTCGCTATGGAAGGTTCTCGTTTTATCGTACTAGTTATCGGCTTCTCTCTTTCATCTGACATTCGCCTCGCATTTTCGCAACAGTATGTTAAAATGAAAATGTAAAAATTTAAAAGTTTACTACCTACGAGGGGTAGCTGATAAGTTCGCAGCCTATAGTACATAAAGAAACAAATGTATACTTTTGCGTTATATCATTGAAAAAAAATTCCTTAGATTTCTCTTCAAAATGGTTTTCTACATCCGCTTTCATCTGATTGTCGTCCGAAAATATTTGTTCCCCTAACAGCTTCTTTTACAATTAATATGAAAAAAAAAAATAAATAAATAAATAAAAAGTCACTCGGAGCCAAGTCCGGACTGCAGGCTGGCAGGTCAATTTCTGTAAAGCCAATAGCTTTTACGGCATCTTTCGCAACGCGAGCGGTGTGAACGGGTGCGTTAACTTGCCACGTCTCTTCTCTACTGGCCGTTCACTGTAGTTCCCTTTGGCAAGTACTCAATCAATAATATTCCCTTGCTAACCAAGAATATGGTAGGCCTAATCTGCAAAACCGACTTTTCCACTTTTGAATTTTTTCGGTGGCTTTTGTTTTATCCACTACATGATTGGAGTTTCATCAGCTGTTGCAGTGTGTTTGCAAATTTCATTCAAATCAGCTTAGTACAACTACAAAAAATCTATATAGAACTCTCCAATAGTCGTTGGTTGTCGAGCGGCCGACGCGAGTTTTCGCGGTATCTAACGTGCGCTAAATTTTTTCATATTCAAATGTTCATGCAAAATCTCTCCAGTTCGTTCTTTGCTAATTTGACATCCTGCTGCTATTTGCCACAATTTAATTCTTCTATCAGCCAGTACTAACTTTTCGACATTCTGAACATTTTCTTCTTCTTGTTAAAATAGCCGAGCAGAAGCTGAAAACTCAATAACACTTGGTGCCAGGTTCCATCCGAGTTCCTGGCGCTTCTGGCGCATCACCAAAAACGTGTGTTGCCTGCCGTTGTCCTGGTGGAACACAATTCGGCCTCTGTTGATCAGAGATGGCCTCTTCTGGATGAGTGCTGCCTTCAAGCGGTCCATTTGTCGGCAGTAGAGTGCCGAATTGAGCGTTTGGCCATAGGGGAGCAGCTCGTAGTAGATGATTCCTTGCCAATCCCACCATACACACATCAAAAGCTTCCTGGCCATCAATTCGGTCTTTGCCACCGTCTGGGCCACTTCCCCGAGCTTTGACCACGACCATTTGCGCTCGATGTTGTCGTAAGTGATCCATTTTTCATCGCCAGTCACATTCCGCTTCAGAAACGGGTCGATTTTGTTGCGATGCAGCAGCGATTCGCAGATGGAAATTCGGTCCATCATGTTTTTTTGCGTTAGTTCGTGTGGCAAGGTTATGCAAATGGTTCCAAACGGTTTTCTGGCTTATCTTTAGTTCCTCAGCAATTGAATAAGTGCTCACGTGACGGTCTGTTTCCACCATTTCCATGATTTTATCGCAATATTCGACGACAGGCCTCCCGATGCGTGGTGCATCTTTGACCTCGAAATTACCGAAACGGAACCTAGCAAACCACTTTTGTGCAACACGTTCGTTTACAGTATCTTTTCGATAAAAACCGAACGAACTTTTTACTCGACCAATATATTATTTAAGAAATTGAAAGTTTTTCCAATAAGCGGTGCTATTTTGATATTCAAAGAAATTTTTCCCTTAAAAGATCGACGGTTTCGTTGCTTGTGTGGCACGTAGCGGCGTCTTGTAGATGGTAAAAGTTGTCGAGATCAATACCAACCAGTTATGGGCATTAAAAATTGTTGATCATCTCTCTCTCTCTCTCTCGAAAAAGTAAGGTCCAATGACACTGCCGGACAACAAACCATACCAAACAGTTGGATGAATGGACAGGTGGATGGAGTGGTTTTTTCACAATAAATCTTGGATTTTCCGAGCCCCAGATGCGACAGTTTGGTTTATTGACGTAGACAACGCGGTGGAAATGGGCCTCATGATTTTTTTTTTTCATTTCAATGCGTTCTTGAAGCGTTTATCGTTTCATTTTTATCATCGACCTACCTGAATAGTAGGCTATTCAGAATAACACTTATTATTGGAAAACCCTTTACATAGATAATATCTAACATACGTATTATATTTGTATGTATGTATGTACCTACCAGTTTTATGCTTGACATATTCATATTTATAAATTAATTTCATTTTTCTTATAGCTTATCACGATGACCAGTCCAGAGAATAGGATATCCAGTCATGGTAAGCTAAAAATTTAAAAACATAGTATTTATGTACAATCATACACGTATATACTAAAGATCTCTCTCTACATCGATTTCGTCACCTTCAAAATAGTCCCCTGCCAACGCTTTCTCCAATTATCGAAGCATGTCAAATAGTCACGTTCTGGCATGGCCTTCAGAGAGCGCACCGATTCTCGTTTAATCTCCTCAATCGACTCAAAACGGTGTCCTCGAAGTGGTCGCTTGAGTTTTTGGAAGAGCCTTCT